TTCCTAAATGTATGTGGTTCAGGCTGGTAGATTATAAATGTTTATGCAGATTTATATTGGAATCTTGGATTTCAAATTCTATAAGTTTTAATTAGTTTATAGGTTATTTTCTGGAAATTGTTTTGATTTCATGTGGTGTTGAGTGGGCTTTTTTGTTTGTTTTTATTGAAAAATGTTAAGTCTTGCAATTTCACAACAGATGCGCAGCTTTTAGAAAACACAGCAAATACAGAAAACGCAACCAAATATGCAAACACTGCAAATGGTACAGACTATAAAGGATGAAGGACACAGCGGGGTTACACTTGCTGATGCTACTTGTGACTAATGAAGCTACTGAAGTTGACTCTCCACAGGTAGTGATTGTGAGGTGATGCCTCATTTAGGTGTTGAGGCTTCCCAGCCAGTAGTTTCACCTAAGGTTCAGCTCATGAAGCCTTCTTTAGGAGCTCATATTACTACTGCAACAACAAAGTTGTTAATTTGTTTTTATTATCTCAAACCACAAGTGTCAGTGCATGTCTACTTGATATGGACCCGGTCCATAGACTGACAGGGTACGCCAGGAATGCATTGTCACAGCATTAGTTATAACAGACAACAGGCAGAACAACATACCATCAGAGAAAATGGATCCTAAGTCATCGTGTTTTTCAAGTTTGTATCATTGTGAAATCAAAGCACTTTGAACTGATTTAGATGGGAAGTCCTTTCTTGTATTTGTTTCATTTGAATGATACCTGTGTTTGAGCTCCTGTACTTTTTCATGTTGCACAAGTGTAAGGCCAGGCAGTATAGGCCATGGGGCATCCTGGTTGTAAATAGAGCTGTGAAAGTGACTTATTCTTTCACTACCAGAGAATCGTGTTGCACAGCTGACTGTCTGCACCAAATAGGACCATCAATGACGAAGATTCATGTCAATGGATGCTAATTAAGCATTACACCCATTTCATAAGGTAAAAATTGCCGGGTGACAGACTTTGCACTTGTCAAATAAGACTTTTTATACATTACATAATCCTGGAGTAGGAAACAGTGTTGACCTTGAAACATATCAAAATAATGACCCTGACTTCCTCCATTGTGCACAAGATCCCTTGAGGCCCTAAGAGTGCTTACCTAAGACCATATCAATGGCCCCTATAATCCTCAAAAGAACCTCCCACACACCTTTGGAACCTGATTCAAGATCTAGTAAACCCCAGGACAAACTATCTGAGCTCTTTCAAGAATCTCAATAACACCCGTGACATTCAGAATGATCCATTGAATTGTTGTTGATTTAATTGTGTTTTGTTTTTTTAACATTGCCCCAAAGGCTCCGAATGGCTTTTTACAGTATCTGAGGTACGCAAGAATCAAGGGCCCATGCATGAGATCTCTGGATGTGAGTAATAAATATCAGAGTCTGGTGTTTATTAATGAGGAAATATGTCACTGAGTCCAGCAATGTGCTTCACTGATGTGATTTAATCATTTTTGAACAACGGAGCTCTATGGCACAGATGAACAAGCTGATACAGGACTGACAGACATTAACCATGAGTAGAGACAATTCAGTGTTGGTTTTAGTCTCTGTATGAGGAGTGTTGAAAATATTATAGAAAATGACTGGCCCTATCCATTAAGTACTCATAGAAAAGCCAAGCTCCTGGAGGTCCCCAGAGTGCCAAGAAACTCAGGATCCCAAAACCACCTCAAGGACCACTGTAATCCCCTAAAAACCTTGCACTTAGCAGCTTCACAGCAACCCATACAATTCTTGTGAAGTCATCTCAAGAACTCAGCGAACCCTCTGAGGCCCCCCACAAGAATTCTTAGAACCCCCTTAAAGATCCTCTGGAGCCCATTTTTATTCTACCCAGAGCCACCTCAGGGGTTATTGAAGGCCAATCAAGAAACACCTAAAACCCCAGCACACTGCCAGTACCTGACAAGACCTCATAGAGCCCCACCACCACCGCCCCCGATTAAATACCTTGTGAGCCCCAAATAATGTCCCTTGGGGCTACATAAAGAATCCAATTACCCCTGGAACCCCATTGAGAACCCTCGGAACCTTTGAATAACTCCTGGTGCTCTTAGAAGGTACCCCCTATTTAAATTCCCACTGGACCTACTGATGCTTGTGGAACCCTTTCTTTTCACAAACCCATGGATCTCCTTCTGAACCAGTGAAATCTTCTGGTGGGCCTAGAATACTCTTAAGGACCCCCAGGGGCTTAATAACCACTGGGACTGCTTCAAGAACTTCTGGGGCTCTCTGAACCCTACTGTAAGTAATATGCCGTTGTGGCATATTTACAAGAATTGTTAGGACATTAGCAGGAAATTTTTTCCATAAAAATCAACAATATATAGTAACATATTCATTAGTCCCACTGCTGTTTTGGGAGTGTGTTTCCTATTTCCATTTGAAAAAAGAAAGTAATTGGATTTATGGTCAGTGAATGTTACAAATGAATCATTCAGTCTATGAATAAGGAGTTTTCATCACCATTACAGAAGAGAGCATCAGTGATCAAAGGGTAATCACAGGTTTTGTTGAAACTGAATGAAACTAGAACATGTGCCTTATCTGACATTATAATGCTATACTAATTCAATCAAGCAGGATCAGAGCAGAAGGAGCCAGAGCACGATAATTACATTTTTCCATTGATGGAAGCCAGAGTGCAGCACTCACTGCTTTGCCCGTTTATTGCATACAAAGTCAAACAAGTTTCTTGAATCCAAGAAAATGTTAGCTCCATACCACACACGACAGATTGATGAGAACTCTCCCTTCCTACCTAATTTTTAACAATGTCATGATTTTAATTTGCCAGTAGTGGGTGGATGACTGCAGACACTGCATGTTACAACTTGTCAGTTCTACTTTAAAAGTGAAATTCTCATGTAGAGTAGGATGCTGCTCAGAAGGTTTACAATTTAGTGTTGAAGCTCTTTCCAAATACTGATAAGCACCCTGGATGTGAAAGAAATGAATGCGTTTAAATTCAGATTAATACTTTAAAAGCACATTGTCCTGCTTGCTGCATGCTGTTTGTTGCTGAAACCAGTACATTTGCATATAACCTTCATAAAGATTTACATGTAGGCCTGTGTAATCATGTAATCAATTCCTCTCCCCGGTGACAGCTGGAGCCACGC